GCCACTGGTTGTTACGTACTACGAGGGATGCACAAGCCACGCCATAAGGATCTTCGCCCCTAAAAAAGATCTGTAGGCGACGCCACGCTACCTGAGATTCTTTACTGAGCTTTGGCCCCACGGGGGCGGAAGTTTCCGTCTTTCGAGTTTTTGATGTTCTAGAAGATTTGTGCATGTTAGGAACGGGTCTATACGCATAGTCGAGGGTGGGTGCAATATGCCGGTGTCGGAAGCCCGGAAGAATAATTCTCTGGCTGAAGCATGGGCGATCTCATTGCCTCTAACTCCACAGTGGCCGGGTATCCATATCAGCTATTTCCATTCGCCTTCTGAGCGTGAGGACGAGAGTTGTGTAAGCAGTCGATGCGCAATGGGGCGATGTAGCCTTCACGAAAATTTTGGTAGGATGTTTTTTAATCTAATGAAATGAAAGTGGGCCTTGGGATTCGCAGGGCGAAAGCGATTCCTGCTTCTTCCATACTAGTTGTGTCTGTGTCCTGGGCTGATATACAATCAACCTGTTTTCAACAATGAATGAAGTTTGGTGTATATTTCCCGTTCACTGGTCCAGCTGCAACGACAGTGAAGGCGCCCCTAGTATCTGAGTTGTTGTCGTGAACTTTTGCCCGCACCCGACGTCGATGTGCGTGGAAGTGGTTTGATGATGAAGTGCTGCCTCAATTCATTTCGAATACGTTGTTTTCCCCTTCTCTCAATGGGGGCTTTCTTGCTAAGTTCTGATAATGTTTTCGGTCCCGTATTAGTGATGGCGAGGTGCATGACTCAATTCATGTGGTGTGCATGGAATAGTTCTGATACTGGTATTGTGGAGCCCCATCTGAAGGAGACGTTCCATGAGGGTCTACGGGGGAAGGTTCAGAGCTTTCTTGAGAGTGACACCTATGACCTATTTTGTGCTCGTCTGCTTTCAAGACCCTCAGGTAAGGAAAGCTATAGGTTATGCGGCTGATAACAAATCCCTGAATGAGTCACATCATGTCGTGTTCTTTCATTCCTCGTCGTTGGTTAGCCACCCGACTAATCATGAGAGAGCTTTGTAAGCAGGACGTTTTTAGTTTATGTAAAGCAAAGAAGTTGTTGCCCCAATTATAGAAGTGGGCCCCCAGAATTCGGATGGTTTCAACCTCTTTAATTTGCGTTTGATTGAGTTGCACGATGAGGGATGTATTGTCAGATGCCTTATTTCTATATACTATTACTTCTGATTTGGTGGGGGAGCAGTGCAGACCACTCTTGTGTCCTATCTTTTCTACGATGAAGGCGGCCTGTTGGAAGTCTTCTTCTATCTGATCAGGTTACCAGACCGGCTCTAGATTGTGACGTCATCAGCATATATGGCGTGCCGTAGTTGCGAAATTTTATTTAGGGCCTTCGGGAGGTGCATGAGGGGGATATTGAAGAGAAGCGGGGTAAGGACAGCCCCTTGGGGAGTACCGAAATCACCCTCGGCGATGGGTTGAGATTTAAGGACCCCTATGTGGATAGTGACTTATCTGCCTGTAAGGAAGTCTCGCACATATGCTTATGATTTTGCACAAGTCAATCAAAGAGAGACCACGCGAGAGGGTAATAACCTGGCACCACCAAACGGTTACTCGGAGAAATAGAGCGCCAATCGTAGAGCAAGCGGAACGGGCACGACGCAACAGGCACTGAAAGAAATTGCCCCCGTATCTGCTCGTTAATCTACAAATGTCGTTGAAATACGATAGTCTTGCGTGTGGACAGAATAAAAAAAACATTTATTTGAGGTTCTGCGCAACAAAATCAGTGAATAGTATTCTGGAGTCACTGCGTTAGACTGTCTCGAGCTTGCAGCGGAGGCGAACGAGCACATCAAGTCACGTCACACGTGAGACATGAGCGCCGTTTGGCAGTTTTCTTGGAAAAGGAAGCGCGTGGCTCTGAGATGGGAGTGCGCCTGTCTCAGAGGTGATAAGCTGTAGAACGCAAGGCGATAGGTAGGTGCCACCCCCATGTCGTCTTAGCAAAGCCTTGGAAACACACGACTTTTTGTGCAAGCGTTAAATCGTCAGCGAAGCCTGATCAGTGCTACGGTCCCTAAATATAGTTATGTATGTCTTTTCTAGTAAAAGACGCACATGCAGAATATATACCTGTTGTTATGGTGCCCCAGACATGCGCCATAATTGCTTTTTAATTGACAATTGCACAAGTATGAACGCTAAAGCTTGAGCAACATTGGTGGGCGCTGCGGATGGGGTCGGCCGTTTCAATTACCCAGTGCCGTTAAAAGTGGACAAACAGACAAATGTGCCGACAGACAGACAGACAGACAGAAAGACAGACAGATACATGGACAGACAGACAGACATTCTATTGTGGTTTCTAAATAATGATGTAATTTCCAGATCAAAGTCGACTAAATTTGTTGGTGTTGTTTCATGTGAGAACTGAAAGCTTCAGTACCATGCTCAATCACATATTAAAGAATCTCATTTGGTATTCACATTGTGATAAAAACTCGTTTTTATTGATAACGAAATATTATCATGTCTTTATATTATACATAAATACGCCGTCACATGTCATATTGCGTTTCTACTTAGGGTAACACATATGCCATATATCTTCATCATCTAGAAATTTTGCAAAAGCAGGCATAGCGATAAGTTACATTTCAACCTGATATATAACCCTCGCCTCGTCTCCTATCTTCAGTTCCATAAATGTTTTTTCTCTGCGTATGTTATTCAGTGTTAAGGTGGTACTGCTAATTTTAAGTCCTATAAATATTGAGCTCAATATTCGAGGTTCTACTCGATTCAACCTGAAAAGTTGCAATAATACAATATTTTCAAAACAATTCGATTTACTTCTTTCTTAAGTTAAACTATATTTAATTCATCAGGGAAGTTACAAGCGTTTCACTCTGAAGTTCATTACCAAGGTTTTTCAAGTTATCCTCATTTTTAATGTTCAAACGAAGCGCTACGAATCATTTAATTAACACTCTTTGGCACACATAAAATTGATAACGTTTCTTCTTGCCAACAGATCATTTTCTTATGTACTGTTGCCAATTTTAAAGTGTTTGAATTTTGCTTATTTATGAATTCTACCTATCTTTATGTGTCTTTGCGTCGCTGGTTCCACGTGCTGCTTATGCTTGTGTGAATTTATGTACACTTTATTCTATCTTGCTTTTTCAATCTGTTTTTTTTTTGTGATTATTATATCGATATTTCTATGAATATAGTTTCCCTGCACTTTTCACACGCTTCATATTGTACAAAATGCATAACTCATTGTTTTCTGAGATTATTGCAACCCCATTTATCTTTTGTTAGAAGGTCCCCCAACAGTTTTCACTTCGGGACCTCTTAATGCATATTCATACATCTACCTTGTATTTTTTGAAAGATTTGTGTGTGATATACCGGTTCCTTCATCTTAGGTATGAACTACATATTTTTTAAATCAGTCATACGTTTCGACGCCCAATTCAGCCTATTCGTCTCTGTTTACTATCCACCGAAAAAAACTTTTTTCAACCATGTAAATGACGTTTTTTGTGCGATCTTTGTGGGCGGTTCTGTAGCAAGCCTCAATTCAGTCCAACCAGAAATATTTTTCATCGTGCACCTTTGGAGGAACTACGTTCTGTCTTCTACGGCAGGGCGTGAGAGCCTTTAGGTTTACAAAAAAAAACGAACCACACCAGAGGATGTGTACATTTTAACTGTCACTACACCACCAACCACAAAGGCAACTGTTATCACGATGCTCTCAACCCGCGGAAAGGTCATCTTCCTATCCAAAGAAATAGCTCTTCACACAAAGAGAATCAGTCACTGCCGGCCTCTTGAACAATGGACAAGCAGATTCATCTTTTGTGTATGTCGACGACCAGACGAGCAGGACAATTGAAATTTCTTGTGCGTTAAAGTAAGCACTGTCACCGACAAGGCTTATTCCCCCAAATAACCGTTTTGATCGCCGATTGTTGTATCTAGAGAATCAGCGACCAAATGGAGAAATTCAGGCGGATGTACAAACACACCCGTGAACTTGGACTACTCTTTCACCGACCACAAAACTGGCCTTGATAATGAAAATAGTCAGCGTGATTTTACGCGGTTGGCGGGACGAAATATTATCCGGGAAGACTACGCTTATACAGAAACAACGTACATTCATGTGCAGGCTGAACACTAATGCTCCGACGTTTGTCCTCGTTTACGTTGACTGATTGCAGCCGCGAAGAGGTGGGCGCTGTTGCTGAGATGGTACCTGGAAATGCTTGAGTTTTATGTCTGCGTGTAACGGTGAATTCTGAGCAATATAAATGAAAGCTACATGGTTTTAGCACAATGAAACTGTTTGAGGACACGTGGCGGGTTCCTCGTGCTAAAGCTTGCTGAATACTGTTGGTAGATTCATCAGAGAACAAAAATCCTCCTGAAACCACTGCGAGAAGCCGAACCACCGCATAAGCTTCGATAGCGCCCGTGTCATAAGAATGTAAATTACCTGCACAAAAAGATAGTACGCGTAACCTTAGGACACGTCAACGACCTCCAGAAATGTTGACATCTCAGTGGGTAGGCAACAGAATTCGTGCGAACACGGCCTACTTGATGAATGGAGAACGCAATGCCTTAACCGCATTGGTGTGTTAACGGAGACAGTGATGGCGCTTTTTATGAAGCCTGCTGCACAGTAATCCTCCGAAAAAGACTAATGCCACTTCGAAGCTAGAAATAGTGTTGTAAAACCTTAAACTACGTAGGCTAAACATGATAATATATGGTAACGCAGAAAAGGACACGAACAAGAGAAGGCACCTTGAAGACACCCATACCAATAAGCCCAAATCACCTCCCTCGTTGACCAAGTAAGCTAAACTTGGTTTGAAAGCTACATTTGAAACTTTTCGCCGTCACGCCGAATTTGGTTGAATAGAACGACTTTCTACTCGCCCTAAAATAATGAAAGTTTTTCGCTCTTCACAACAGGTTGTTAACGGAGTAAACTACGCACTGACATTCGAGATTACCCCATCTGACTGCCCCGTCGCCGATGGTCCGTATGCTGGCGAGTCATGCAAGCCTACCGGTGATGAGGTAAGCTATCCGGGGGCCTTTGAGAAAGTACATCTACACTATTTCTCGGCTAGAAAATTAAACATTCGGCTCAGTTATTGCGCCTCTTTCTCATAATATGAGAATGATATTCTGTACAGAAAAATTGCACCTTAGAACAAAAACAGAAATCTGTTATTTATTCAAAATAAAATCGACGTTTGACACTCGGCTCAAAAGCATCAAACCGCTTGGAATTTTTTTGCTGCAGTGTTTTAAACATTTACAAAACCTTTCGCTTTTCAGTTGGTCTCGCACTGTATTGTAACAAACACTTTGGCCTCACAAAGTGATTCAAACTTCATCTATTCCAAGGACTGACCACAAGAAAACAAATCCCACTAACTTTACTAGCGTTGGTACATAAAAAACTAACACAGAAGTGTGTTATGATGATGACATTATTACCATGAGCTAGTCTCCCAGTATACATATAAAAACTCTCTCATGTTGAATTCCAACGGCAGATCGTGAGCGCGGGGCCGCGGATTGCAATAGTGGAGCGAGCAGATCAGAGGGGGTTCGCTCTCGCAAAATCTGCGGTTGGAACGCGCGCGTCTCGATAGGAGCTTTTTGTGAGCGGAAATCTACGAAGGCAGTAGTATCAGAAGGTGCGAAAGGATGCAAAGCGTTTTCCGGATATACATCAGTGATTGGCTGAGAGGAGGCGCACATAATACGTTACTTAAACTTCCGGGGAAGTCTGCCAAATTCGGCGGATCAAGAACTTTTGCTCTACAGAGGAATCCAAGATTTGCGGTTGCTTTCAATCTCCCATTGGAACGCACAATTCACGCTCCCAATCCGCCATTGGAATGTGGTTGCTCCGCTCAGAGCAGAAAAAACAAAATGGCAGATCCCACGTACAGTGAGAATCCATCATATGCAAAGCAGGAATGAGAAAGATTGATATGTCACTTTAAAATCAGCACAACGTAACGAGGAGGAGCTAGATGATGTTGTACATGACTTCCGTGTCGTGATTAATATGTTTGAATGTGTCGCTTACCTTCATTATCTATTCACGTCGCGTGATACCAATTTTGGTATATGTGGAGCTAGCGAAGAGGCAACGAGCATGCTATGAGCGCGGTATATTGTCATGTTCTTACATGACACGCATGTCAGGAGTATCATGTTTGCACCAGTCATATATTTCGTCATTCATTGACGTCACGTAACACCATACTTGGTATATGTGGAGCTAGCAAAACAGTCGAGAGTGCATCATGAAGGGCCCAATATACTCCAATGTAGCGTTGACGCGCGAGCACGCCGGGCACAGCTACCCTAAGTTAGCAAAACGCGATCACTTTGTTCTAGTCTGACGCAAGGTGCGAACGGCGCGAACAGCATCCGTTGGCACAGCCCCATACGGCAACCGGCACGAAATGGAACATGCTGCATTTCGCACTGATGCATTACCCAGACAACACTGCGTCACTCTTTTCGTGACGGATGGACGCCGGACCCAGTGAAACGCGCATGCGTCAAAGCAACGCAGCGCGGCGGGCGCCTGCGAGTATATGGCGGGGCCGGTGCCTGGCGTGGCAACGCCGGCGTGACGCGACGAAATGAACGCCGGCAAGCACGCGCACCGCGTCACGTCGAAATGTATTGGCACCTTTACTGCGGCATGTAGTCATGTTATGACATAACACAGATTTTATGATTGTCATGTATTCACCAGGAGACGCTCTAAGTGCCGACCAGTGCAGACGCACGAAGATCGGCTCCTGCTTTCAAGAATGCTTGCCTGTGGTATTAACGCATTTGTCGCCGAGTTTTCAGTCCCATCGTGTGCCTAAGTTCTCAAGAAATCAGCAGATACCACCTTTGTGCTGTTCAGTGGACTTTTAAACCGTTTTGGGGGCATTTTTACACGGCAACGCCACCGGGAAATTTAAGCCTAACAACAAAGGAGGCGATTGTCGCCGATGCACCGACCCGGCGCCAACGTGACTCAACGCTCTGCGCGTTCCAGAACCTGCAACTGAGAATGAAATACTAAGTAGATGGAGAGGACATCTCTCCAGAGGATTGCACGGAAGACATGGGTTGGAAGGAAGCCGAAACAAAACGCTCAAGGAATAAGCAAGCCGCGGTTAGCGTTCCTGCTGCCAAGGGTGCGACTAAGGCTGGGGTTGCGGAAGACGCTCGAGCGAGTCGTAGTAGGTATGATACCAAGCATACAATCGTGCGAGCTGGACGCATGCCGCCACTACCCAAGGACGTCAGCAAAATTGTGCTACGACCACGTGGAGAATTAAATATCTCGAGAATTGGCACTGGAGCCGTGGCACACGCGGTAGTACTGGCGGCCGGCATCAAGGAGGAGGAGGCCATGCAGAACATCATCTGTTCAACTTGCAGCAGAACATTATGGTGGCAAGCACTCCGGACCAAGACAGAGCTTCAAGATATCTCAAGGTCAAACAAACTGACATTGGAGGCAAAGTTTTCGAGGTTAGCGCGTACGCCACGGCATCCCACGATACTTGTAAAAGAGTGATTCGCGGGATCCCCGTAAGCGATACTCAGGACATTTTGACCCGAAAGATTGTGAACGCGAACAACCCGCTCGCGCTGCAGGCCAAGAGAATCAAGGATACCGGGACAATCATCATAGCGTTCGAAGGACACAAGGTGGCCAGATTCGTGAGATATGGACCTTCACTTTCGCAGTGCTCCCTTTACCACAAGAACATCGATAATTGTTACGTCTCTGGAAAGCTGGGACATCTGTCTGACGTCTGTCCAAACCCAGCTGAAACCATCTGCAGAGGCTGCGAGATCAAGAACCAAGATAGTCTGCACCAGTGCAATCCAAGATGCAGGCTGTGTGACGGTCACCATCCCACGGCAGACAAAGAGTGCAAGAACAGGTTCTTAGTGCCATACGTCGTCAGACGCAGACGTTGGGAAAGATCGCGAGCAGCCGCAGAAGCCGGGGACGCATCAATCACATCGAGTCCAGAAATCAACGACAAGCAGCTTATTCCAGCCTACGGGACCCAGAGCATCCAGACTACTCAAAAACAAGAAAGGCGGCCCCACTCCAGGGGGAGGTCGCGTTCCAGGAGAGGTTCTAGACCCGAGGCCCGCTCCCAATCACGGGGGCGCTCGAGTTCTCAAGGTCACCATCAGGGTCGGGATCAGCCTGGGCGACACCCGGATGGCCAGCTGCCTAACGTTCAGTTCGAGATCACGGCTTCACACCCGGGGAGGACGCCTGCAGTTACATCGAAAGGCAGCTGGGCTGAGCGAGTGCACAACGGCGCGGCAGAGGTTATGACAGGTAAGCTGCCAGAGCATGATAAAATTGCACAGCTAGAGCAAGAAAACGCGAGACTTACAAAATCGAATGAGAGGCTATCAGCTGAGTTAAAGGAAATAAAAATTCTTCTCACTAAGCTAACCAGTGCGCAGTCTTCACAGCCAATGCCTCAGCCAGTTGATGTCCCTGCGGCTGAAAGCGTGGGGGACTCGAGAACTACAAAAAAAGGCCGTCATGGCAGAATACGCGGAAGCCAACTAAACGACCATGTAAGATATGAAAGAGGTCTTTGACACGCTCAGCAAAGTAGTAGCCAATCTTAGCGAGCAGATGGGTAGGCTACAGTCAAGCGTGGCGGCACTGGAAGAGCATATGACTTTGCGCATTACAAAGGTCGAAGCATATCTGCACAATACAGCAAGGCCTCCTCATGCACCAAACTCACCCCTTCGGCCACCAATACTAGTGGTACCAAACCTGTCGACAGGTGCAGCATCAGGCTCTGGCCGCCCATGTAATAACCATGATGGCAGCTCTATGTGAAGCATTTCGTGTCTGGCAATGGAACTGTAGAGGTTACCTTAAAAATAAGGCAGCCCTACAGCAGTATATCAGGAGCAGCCAAGAAAAGTCTGATATTATATTATTACAAGAAACCCTTTCACCGCAAGCAACTTTGCCTGGATTCCGGCCTGTAATAGGGGATACTGAAGGGAGGGGAGTCTGCACCTTCGTATGCAACAAACTAACGCACGTAACCCACGACCTCAAGATAGAAGCAGGCCGGTTGGAACACGTCATGGTAGAGATCGTGCCAGGTATCAGCTACCGTCAGAGCATTTTCATTCTTAATATATACAGCAGTCAAAAGGAACAAAAGCAAGGGTTCAAGATGGTTCTAAAGAAAGCTGTTAATATTGCCGGGGAATGTCCACTCGTCATAGCAGGTGATTTCAACGCCCCTCGTCAAACATGGGGTTACAAGTACAACACTGGGAAAGGAAATCCACTTTGGCAAAGTGCCAGTGAACTTGATCTCACCCTAATCACAGACCCCAGCCTACCAACAAGGCCTGGTACATCTTTCTGCAGGGATTCCACCCCGGACCTTACATTTGTAAGGAACATCAAGAAGGCCGAGTGGATGAACCTTGCTGTAGACGTAGGGAGTGACCACTGCATTCTTGCCACTACCTTCTCCGAGGAGCGTAAAAAGCAGAGAGAATTCCACTTCACAGACTGGGATAAGTTCAGGAAGATAAGGATGGAAAGGGAACAAGATGGCCACAGACAAGGCTTGGAGCAGTGGGTCAAACAGATTAAAGATGACATCAAATCCGTCTCCTCCACCATTACCACAGATTTTCCAGTTGAAAGAATAGATAGCCGGCTTGCTCATCTTCTTGAGGCAAAGCAAGCACTACTGTACCGTTGGAAGGGTCAGCGCCTGAACCGAAGACTGAGGAAGAAGATAGCTGAGGTAAACAGATCAGTCGAGGAACATTGTCGCACACTATCCAGGCAGCAATCTGCAACTCCGTCGATGGGCAGATGCGTAATGGCAAGACATGGAATATGTTAAAGCATCTCCTCAACGAAAACACCACCAAAACAAATCAAAAGCATGTTATCGCTCGAATTTTGCATAAAGAGATAGGGCGCACTACAGAACAGCAAGTTGTGCAGCGGCTCGTGCATAAGTACC